ATTTCTACTATAATCAAAACCATTGGGTGCATCTAAGTATTCACCAATTCACTGTAATGTATATAAAGATTCTGTCAGTAATCCTGCCAAACTGGGGTTTATTGTTTGTTTTTTACTGAAATATTGTTTGTTTTTTACCTGAAAAGAAGACAATTCCAGATTTAACTGAATGCCATTAAATCCAATGTATAAACATGAAAAACATCTGGACTAAATTCCAGCTTCTACATGGTGCCCAACTTAGGCTGCTAAAACCAATCTTGGAGTTTCTTTTTCCAGGTGTATGTGCACATGTGTCATCTTTGTGTGTAAATACATTCGTGTTTGTATACACCCTTGCAAAGACTACTCTAGACTAAAAGGATAGCCTAGGATGATGAAAAAAAAGGATTTGAAAATGTTTTAAAATAAAATATCCTATATTTTACAAATGTCAACTGTTTTAATTACACATAGCGGCTTTTCTTTCACTTATAGAGCGAAATACTCAAATACACACTTTCCCCTCCTTTCTTCCACTAGTAATAGCAACAATGAAGAAAAAAAGAGGGTGTAAAAGGGGTAAAAAGTGGGATGCTGCAGTAGGATGGGGAGGCGAATGTAATTTGGAAAAATCTGGATGGATGGAAACGGGGAAAAGGTAACTGGACAGGAAAGAAAGAAGCCTTTTTGAGATGTTATGAAAAGAAAGTTAAAATTCACTAGGCAGATCACCACTCCAAAGATTTAAGTTTATCCACAAAGCAATTCAAATGTTTTATAGTGGGTTTTAAGAGATGTGTCCTTCCTTCTTCTCCTTTTTTTTTCAAAAGCCTCTTCTGTTCAGATAGAGAATGCAATTATCCACAGGTTATTTGAAGAATCACATCTTTTTAAGTGTCAAGATGCAAGTATAAACAAAAAGCAAACAAAAAAACCCACTTACATTCTTAAACAGAGAGGAAAATAATCATTAGGAATTACAGTTTAGTTAGTACTACTGATGTTCTTTATGCACCCTGTAAAAAAAGGCAGGTTTGAGCATTTCAGAAGATGGTTAGAGAGCTTTTTCCAGGACAAGAAATTGCACTTGTCTTTTGAAGAATTTGTTAGGAGCCAGATTCCCGTTAGTGGATGTAGCCACAGCTCAATGACAGAATGAATATATATTCTGTCAATATTTTTTTCAAAGCATCCTTAAGAGAAAATAAAGTAACATATTAAATGGTTGGACATGGACCAGTCTCTGTGATGATCATCTATGTTAAAAAAACAACAACCCTAGATCTTAAATTTCTAAGCCTACAATCCTTGCAAGCTACAGTAACCTAAAGGGGCAGTTTTACTGCTACCTTATCAAGCATGAGATTCCTGGCTATTTGATATTTATTTGTGGAAGTCTGACCTACAACCCTCCCAGTCTAAAGTCAGAAGGAATAAAGGATTCTGAGAGGTCAAGATGGGTGTTGTTAAAAGTCAAATGAAAACACAAGGCAAAACCAAAACCTTAAGGAAACTCAATCTGAAAAACAGCTGCCATGAGTAAAAACTAGGTGACATACATCTCAGTGCCCACAAACCTGTTTCCTGTGTCCACTTAAAGCCGTCATTGCTATTCAGTTTCAACCCCTTTCCACATCATGAACTGAACTGAAGAGATAGGAACTATTTTCTATTGCAACAGAAACTACAACAACATTTCTTCTTTATTTTGGAAACTTTTCAATGGCTGAGGTTTATAATAGAAGCACAGACACAAAAGAGACTTTCCCAGTGTGGAAGTTGGAAGGGATTCACCTCTATCCATGAATATTAAACAGAAACAGAACTTTATTAATATTTCTGTCTTTCAAATCACTTATGAAACAAAGCATGAGCATTTAGAGAAGCAGAACACAGAGAGAGAGAGAGAGTGTAGAGAAAACCTCCACAGAGGTTGAATTGAGTTTAGTCCACCATGGTTTTTCCCTGACTAGCTGTCAGCAATGCAGGCCAAACTTCAAAAGGCATGTTTCTGTAGAAGGATTTGTAAGGGTCCCACATGTATTATTGAACTTTGCCTGCTGACTCCTTTTGCTAAAATCATTTTCCTGGCAGCCCTCAGGGCAGTCTTAAGCAGAGACTGACAGTTGCATTTCGCTGCTATCTTCTGAAGCAAATTTGCATTGCTGTATTTCTGCCTACCACTTTTGTATTTCTCTTGGTATCTCTGGAATTCTAACTGCTCAGAAGTAAAGTGTCCCTTTTAATTTTCCCCAGATAAATTTGGAAGAATTTTATTCTATTTATTTTTGGCCAGGACTGATGAAAAAAGAAGGACTTGCAGACCAATTATAACACTTCTCCATCTGACTGAGACTTTCCTTTCTGCTGGGAGATTCTCTCTCTAATATCATCTGCCTGCTTCTCCCAAAGGTGCTTTTTTGAAGAGGCAACTGGACTTTCTGGTTTTTTTCTTTGAAGACGTTTCACTTCTTATCCAAGAAGCTTCGTGGATGAGAAGCAAAACATCTTCAAAGAAAATCCAGAAAGTCCAGCTGCCTCTTCAAAAAAGCATCTTTGGGACAACCATGACCTGAATGACTGAGAATCTCCATAGACATCTGCCTGCTTGCATGAGAAAATGGTTGGGATGAATTTGCCTGTCCAGTTGAGTATCAAATATATCTACCTAAGTTGGACACTTAGCAAGGGCATCAGCCTGACAACCAAATATAGATTAGTTTGCTGTACTGTGTTCACTGTAGCTACCTATGGTTGTGAAAGCTGGACCTCAAACAAACAAGACACAAAGAAAATCGAATTGTTTGAGCTGTGGTGGTGGAGAAGCCTCCTGCATATTCTTTGGACAGCAAAGGTGACCAACAAGCAAGTACTAGATCACATAACACGAGACATGTCACTAGAAGGCCAAATCACAAAGTTGTGCCTCTCTTACTTTTGCCATATCATGCAGGGAAATTCACTGGAGAAAACAATTATGTTGGGTAGAATTAGCTGCAAAAGGAAATCAGGCCACCAAAGAATGCAGTGGCTGGATGCCATCAAAGCTGATACTAGCCAGAGCATAGAACAACTCAAAGAAGTAATGCAAGATCAGAAGATGTGGAGAGACTTGGCTCATGGAATCGCCAAGCATCAGATATGACTGAATGGATATCATCATCATCATCATCATCATCATCATCATCATCATCATCATCATCATCATCAAATTGGCCACTCAGGGAAGATTGGGGATTCTGTGGGAAGATGCATGCTATGAAGCACCTCAGGTGGCAGGGATCCTATACTCCATAATGGAACTCCTAGGGAGAAAAAATATTGGGAATAATCTATAGAAGCAACTTGTGCCCTTCCCTGCCGGCTCACCCATTAATGACAGTTATGTGACTGTGGGCTGCTGCAACCACCACAAGAGCGAGTCAATCGCCAAACACCCAAATCATGATCATATGACCGTGGGTGTGCTGTGACAGATGGACATTCAAGGACCAGTCATAAGTACCATTCATTCAGCATCTTTATAACTTTGAATGGTAGTAGTTGCAAACCAAGAACCATCTGTACATCAGCCTTATCAGTGAGACCAGGCAGGAAATACGACCCGATAAACTCATTCTACTTTATTGTAAAGATATATTAACAAAATCTTTGTAAGTCTGAAAGTACAATTCTCCACATTCATAGGCCCCAAAACTGGGGTGGGGGGATGGGGAAGGTTACTTCTGAGTCTCTTGCATCATCCACCCAATGCTGACCCTTATCTGACCATTTCCTAGGTAGGGAATTCACTCCATCTTGCAAGGTCTTTCCCATATACTATTATACTGTATGTCTGGTGAAGTTTTCAGGGAAGTGACTAAATTTAGAATTTCATAGCTATTGCTTTCAGAAACCTCATGGTGTATTTGTAATTTAAATACTGTAATTTTTTTTTATTTTATTATCTTCAGTTATTGAACTCAACTTCTACCTTTTCCCCTTTTTATTCACACACACGTACACACAGACACACATGTATGCATCTATTTATGTATATACCTGGATACCTTGCCTATACAATATTTTAGCTGCTGACCTTAGGCTATAATAAATAATAATTACAAAAATATTTTTTCTTTTTTTACAGTTTATCAGTCCATGTGCAGTGGGTAAATTCCAGTGCAAAGCACACTCACTTCACAGGCAATTGGGTAATCCCTATCCATTTTGCACTATCACTTTTTCTCCCACGGAAAGCAAAAAAAAAAAAATACACAAATTGAAAATTGTAGCAAATAAAATGTGTATGTCAATTTTTAAAATTATTTTAATTGTCCTAAGTAATCTGAAAGACAGGTAGATGATGAATTTTGAAGCAGAGCTAACGAAGAAATATAGAATTCTGTCCATAAATAAGAAATATTATATGATCGTTTTTGAAGATATTCTCCACTTGCTTTTTTTCCTGCACTTGATTTTAAAATAATAAATATTCCTACATTATTATGATTCTCTTTCAAGTATTAAATTAAAAATCTTATTTTTGGCCGCATAGTCTTAGTATCATGTCTGTTTTAGAATGGTTTTTTCTTGTTAAGCTATTAAATAGTATGGTTTTTAAAAAATACTTTTGTTCTCAGGACATTAATCCTTTCAAGAAGACACCAGTGATGGTTAAGTGACAGCAAAACTACCATGATTCAGTTCCCATTATAGGCCCATTTCACATCACAAATGGCATGATGATTTGCCATTCATTTCCAACCATTCGCATAATGTAGCTGCAAAATGAAAAATAGAGAGTCTGTCCAGTACTAATAAAAGAATCCCATGGACTCTGCTGAGAACCAATTTACGCAGAAATCTATCCCTATTCATTGTCTGCCATGGGTTATGTCCCTTCATCCCGTTCCACTCTGACTTGGCTGAATAAGATGTGAAGGGAGTGAGCCTAAAAGGAACATTTCTTTTTTCCACACCAATATGTACCAAAGGTTTTCCAAGAACACGTCAAGGCCTTTGTTTTGAACTTTTACCTTGGTACGCTAGCCAAGTAAGTCACAAGTTTCCGAAGATCTTCCTGCCTTATTCTGTCATGATTACTGCGTGCTGGAAATGTCAGGATGGGACCTCCTCGTTTATCACGGCCGCCTGTAACAAAACAAACAATTGCTTGAAAATTAATCAGGAAACACATTACATCATGTGAGCCAAAGGAAGAGGGAAATGACCGAACTGCAGCTTCTTTGTAAAGATCTCCTCTCTGGTTTTTGTTTTTTTTAACCACTTGAGTGATTAGGGCAGCTCCCTGACTTATTGTATGAGACTATCGCTTCAACTGGAAACGTTAAAAAGTGTTTTTATGTTTTAAAAAAAGTCAGCAATAAAAATTGTGATTATTCTGTATTTTCAAACATATGGATCTTTCAAAAGTTTAGGAGTGCATTGGTTAGCAAGTACAAATTTCAAACTCTCCAGATAGATGGATGGATGGATGGATGGATGGATCGATGGACAGACAATTGGGCATTTTCTTGATATATTTGATTTTTAAATGGCAACCAATGCTACCAAATCGACAGGGAAGAACAATTCTAGAAAAACTGAAATTGACTTTTCTCTATGATGATTTGAGAAAAATCACATGAAAACTGAATCTGGGGAAAAATACTTTTCAAAAAAATACCAAGATCGCTTTGAACCAACATGTACAGAACTCAAAGCAGAGATCAAACACTTGTAAAATTTAAAAAAATGAACACAAGAAACATTTCCCTCACTTCAAATTGGTTTTGTGATTTTTGTCAGGGAACAAAGTTAATATGACTTATGCATAATATGTATTAGATATAACTCATTATTATATAATTGTAATATATATTATGATGAGTTTTTGGATTCAGATCATTATTTCTTTCAAGAAGACATCATTTAAACCAGTCATTGTTAAGTGACAGCAGAACAACTACTATGCTTCATTTCACAGTATAGGCTCATTTCAAATCACAAATGGCACAGTGATGAAGGAATTGAAATGTAATTAAGTTTTGAACTTAAGGAGACTTTGTATAAAATGATGTAATGTTGGTACTTGTCACCAAAGAAATTGTCTAGAATATATAATAGTATTTCAAATCTTTGTTGGAAACATGAACAACACGAAGGGATATTTTATCATTTTTGGTGGACATGTAAAAAAGCCAACAAATTCCAGATATATGAATTCAGAGTAAAACGAGAGGCTTTTATTTTGGAACTAATGAACGGGCAAAGAAAAAAGGCATGGAACTTTATTAACCGCAGTGAGAATAAATTACATATTCAAATATCACAAAAATTGACATTATGCACAATGGAAGAATGGTTGGTGAAGGTGATGAAACCTGCAGAGATGTCTAAATTAACATCTCTGATTAGAGAAGACATAAAATCTACATTTATGACTGATGGGCCTTTATAGACATTTTGAATGAAACAGAAAAAAGATGCACTTAGGACTTGTCGTTTTGGTGATTAGAAAAAGATTGGATAATAGAAAAGTGTGAGGTTTTTTTTTGTAATCATAGAGTAAGAGATAACTTTATAATCACATTTGTATTTGCTGCAAAGAAAATCAGAAGCTTCTTTATATTTCTTATCTTTTTTTTCTGCTCTTTTCCCTTTTTCTCTTGCTTTCTTTGTTCTATTTAATTTGTATTAGTATGTGTTAGTTTTTACAATCCCTCTAAAACATAACTTTTATCCCAAAAATGGCAGTAATTTACCATTCGTTTCTAGCCATTTGGACAACATCGTTGCAAAATTATGGCAAAATTTAAAGTGGAGAATTTGTCCAATGCTAATAAAAATCCCACGAACATGCTGCAAACCAATTTACACAGAAGCTATCCCTTATTCACTGTCTGCCATTGTCCTCAATTTACAACCACAATTGAGCCCAAAATTTCTGTGCTGAGTAACACAGTGGTTGAGTGAATCTGGCTCCTCCATTGACTTTGCTTGTCAGAAGGTTGCAAAAAGTGATCACATGACCCCAGGACACTACAACCATCATAAATATGGGTCAATTGCCAAGTTTCTGAATTTTGATCAGGTGACCATGAGGATGCTTCAACATCATAAGTGTGAACAAATGGTCATATGTCACTTTTTTCAGTGCCACTGTAACTTCAAATGGTAACTAAACAAATAGTTGTAAGTCAAGGACTATCTGTACTATATTTTTTTTCCTGCTCCAACAGTAGCGTGATATATCTGAAATTTTCTCTCTTGTGTACTAACATAAATTGGTTTACTTTATCCACAGTGAGTTCAGGGGTGGGATTCAAATTTTTTAAGAACTGGTTCTGTGGGCGTGGCTTAGTTGGTGGGCGTGGCTTGGTAGTCATGTGACTGGGTGAATGTGGCTTGGCAGTCATGTTATTGGCTGGGTGTGGCCAACTCAATATCACTCACATCGAGGCACGCATCTCCTCGCCTGGCCTCTCGTGACTGTGGGGATGCTGCAACAGTCATAAGTGTGAAAAATGGTCATAAGTCACTTTTTTCAGTGCCATTGTAACTTTGAATGGTCACTCCACACAAGCAAAGTACCAGCAAAGGAAGGGAAAAAAACTCCAGAGAAGTTCCTGAGACAGGAAGTCTAGTCCTGCCAAGAACGTAATAAGGGTTAATGGAGAGGCAGTTTCTGTAAGCAACATCAGAATGTTTCCTTCCTACCTTCCTTATAGGTTTAGGCCAGTAATTTCTTCTAACAACCGGTTCTCTGAACTGCTTAGAATGTTAACAACCGGTTCTAGCGAATAGGTGCGAACTGGTAGAATCCCACCCCTGAGTGAGTTGTGTGAAAGAGGGCACAACTCGCTGAACTGCTTTAGGCAAGAAGATGTCTCACGTAATCCAATATAAGCAAATAACATTCAAAAGAAATGTTGAAGCATTTTTCGAGGTGTAATGTGGTTATGCATCAATTACTAATAGAGAAAAGAAACAAGCATGCTACTTTATTACCTATAGTTATTGTTATTAAAGGGCAATACTACTGCTTTCTATTTAATTCCTCAAATAAATTGGAAAATATAATGTTAATGAAGCAAGCAAGGCCATATTCTATACTTATGAAGATTCCAAATACATAGGAAGACGCATAGGAAGATTCTAAAAATTGGTAGAGATTCTCAGTCATCCAGGTCATGGTTGTCCCAAAGTGCTTTTTCAGGAGGCAGCTGGACTTTTTTGTTTTTCCTTTTGAAGATGTTTCACTTCTCATCCAAGAAGCCTCTTCAGCTCTAACAGGATAGTGGGGAATTTTCTTCAAAAGAAAAAACAAGGAAGTCCACATGCCTCCTGAAAAAGCCCCTTTGGGACAACCATGACCTGGATGACTGAGAATCTCTATAGACTTTTAGCTATGCAATTTGGGATGAACACCCTTTGAATGGTGTGGGAGTAGGAACGGATTTCCAGAGGGAAAAAAATTACAGACTACAGGAACCAGGAGCACTACTGAGGTGACTCTGAATATACAGATAACCCCCCAAATGCTTCAACCACCCTCTAAAAGGATGCAGATTGTCAGCTGTCTGCAAGGAATATAAATCCTTCCATTTCCCCACCATCCTGTCAGAGCTGAAGAAGCTTCTTGGATGAGAAGTGAAATATCTTCAGAAGAAAAAACAAGAAAGTCCAGTTGCCTCTTGAAAAAGCATTTTTGGGCATAGGAAGATTCCAAATCAAAATGAATTATTGATAACTACATGGATAAGTCAATCGAACCATGCGTTGGCAATCATGTAGGAGTAATTCACCTTTTACTTTTCCCACAATTCTTTTTGAATTGCAGTCTAACTTGTAGCCCTGGTACTTTCTAATCTCCCCCATCCAAGTACTAAAAAGGCCTGAACTTCCTTCATTCTGCTCAGCACACTGACCATATCACACTTAACCTTCTCGGCTCAATAGCATGGGATAAGATCCTCCACTAAGAATAGAGTGGGTCAATTTCTGCTGTATTTTTACTTCTATACTTTCCTAAATTCGTTTAATCTTAATTCCATGTTAATCCGTGGACTTTTAAACCTATTCAAAAACATGTATTTCTGAGTGCAAAATTTGAGAACAGTAAAGAACTAAAAGTTAATGCATATCAATTCACAAATTAGTCTGATAGATAATTCTTCAGCATTGCTAATTCTAACAGCTGATTTCACAACAATCAGCGCTCTTGTCAACATGAGCCCTGTAAATCAGGGTGATCTACAAAAAATAAAAATAAAAGATATAACTGACCAGACCAATATTAATTTGCTTAGTGCTTGCTTCCCAAACCAGTGATTTCTTTAACTTATTTATTTCTAAATTTTAAAAACAAAATAAAAACCAAAATCTCCTTTTAGAAGTAAGCCAGAGTTTAAAGCAGCTTTCCTGTATGTAAACATCAAGTGCAGAGTGATCCATTCAGCTCTTGGTACAGACTGACCTTCCTTAACCAGCAATTTATTTTTACAATCTCAGAATAGAAAGAATTTTAAAATTAAGTTTGAGAGATTAGTTTAAACTTTAAAATGTTTAAAATATTCTTGGGAATGTAGGTTTGGCAGAATGCACAAAGAATTGCCTTCCATGGAGCAACAATAGGTATTACTTTATTTTAGATTGCCAACCTTTCCAGGTAAAAAAAAACATTTTATTTTCTGTACCAAGTGAACACTTTCCCAAAAACAATTTTTTTTTCTACGCAAGGACAAGGGCTGGCATGAATGTCAGCAAAATGTCAACTAACAATTGAATTGAAATGTAAGTTTTCTGTCCCGGAAAACAGCTTCCAAATGCAATTGGTGTTATTTTCTTCTTTTTATATATTACAACAGCAGCACATTGCATTTCCTTCCTCTTGACTCTCATTTTTCTCTTATTAACAATCTCCTTCTAAATATTTCCACAAACAGGTGCAGTGATCAAAGCCAAATTCATGCGACAATTGGCTAACGTTCAGACCGAGTAACTCCTAGCACATACCTTTCAAAATGGCTATTTGCCTTCTTGATAACAGTAATATGATATCCCGCATGAGTGGGACATTTGTGATCCTTCAGATATTGTTCAACTGCCATGTGACATGTGCTTGCTGGGGCTATTTAGATACAGTGTCATCAATGTGCAGTGATGTTGTGAAGTGTAATGTAATGTTTCTGCCTGGGGAATGAGAGGTAGAAATGTGTAAAACAGTTCAAGTTGAACTGCTTTGACCTTGTAATAGATGTTTTGCATGTTCAAAGTTCAAACAAGAACTAGGATTCAAGACCACTCGGAAACTACAGCTGCTCCTCAATGCAGCAGCACAAGTAGTTATAACTAAAACCTTAATAAATAATACCCCTAATATATTAGCTTCCCTGGCTATTGATGGGCTGCTGGGTACAATTCAAGATGCTGGTGCTCACCTTTAAGGCCCTGCATGGCAGGGAACACAGATATTGATAGGTCCCCAGTCTACGGTACCTATCTACAAAATTCAATAGAGTTGCTGCTTTGGGCTCATCAATTAAATAGTGTTATCTTATGGAAACCAGGAACTATCTCTCTACAGGTTCCAAGACTGCTGTTCTTTAAAAATCTTCCCAAAGCTAGATCTTCCTCCAGACAATAGAACAGGATTGTATATGAGCCTATTATAATTACCATATTTTTTGGAGTAAAAGACACACTTGCCCCCGCCCCCAAAAGTGGGTGGCAATGCCTGTACGTCTTATACAGTGAATACGGGCCCATTTTTGGCCTCCCAAAGCCTCCGTGCATTCTGTTTTTGCCCTCCCGGGCATCCAGAGGCACTCTGCAGGCCAACAACAGGGGGAAAAATAGGACCCATGAAGGCCTCCAGAGGTCAAAAACGGGTCCTTTTGGGGGGCTGTAGAGTGCTTCTGGATGCTGGGGAGGACAAAAACGGGATGCATGGAGGCAAAAAAAAAATTTCTTACTTTTCTCCTCTAAACCAAGGTGCGCCTTATCGTCCGGTGCATCTTATACTCCAAAAAATATGGTATGTTAATATGTTGTCTCTGGTGTGTTGCATTTTGTTTTTTATTGTCTACTTTTCATGTTGTGATTTTTAAACTTTTGCTACTTGCCCAAAGTTTCTTAGTAATGGGCAGCAACGTAAATTGAATAAACAAATAAATAGGAATTATGTTTCGGAGTCAGAACAAAATGCAATAGTGTTGAATGATGTCATGGGCATGCTGATTGCTCCAACCATGGCAGCTAGGATGAATACTGAGTTGTAGTTGAAAAACCCAGTGGTTTTTTGTTTGTTTGTTTGTTTGTTTGTTTGTTTGTTTGTCTAAGACTGTAGAACACCAGCATTTGGTCCAGTCATATTCAGAATTCAGGACACTCAAAGCCATTTCAAGAGTACCTGGTTGAAACACAGCCAACTTGAAATGTTTAAGTGAGATTTACTTGTTCGAAATTCAAAACAAAATGTGTACAAAAATGTATCCAGTTTTGTTTCCATTTGGAGACTACATCTAGACTTTGGGTTCAAGGACAACCTGTGAGTGTCTGGGAAGAGTCTCAGGGACTTCCCATGTCTCTGATATTTCCAAAGCTGCTGAAAGAAACAGGTTTTCAGAGATTTCCTATAGTGCCAATAGAGTAAAGCTACTCTCACTTCAGACAAATGATCCTCTAAAACAGGGCTGTCAAACTCCCGGCCCAAGGGCCAGATGCGTCACGTGCTGGCCACATCCATGCCCAGTTTAGCGAAGGGGGAAAAAGTCCCAATACATCACGTGATGCAGCTGTGATGACATGAGTTTGACACCCCTGCTCTAAAAGGAGGATATCACAGCAGGAAAAATGATTTTAATTCAATAATTAAATTAGATAGTTACCTTAATCTTAATGATTAAGAAGTTAAGACAAATGGTTCATAAATCTTGTGTGTATATTTCAAAGAAGAAAATAGCTGGGCTCAAAGCAACAACTCTTATTGAATTTTGTAGACAGGTAGAGATAACTAGAGACCTACAAATATCTAGGTTCTGTGCCATGCAGGGCCTTAAAAGTGAGCACCAGCATCTTGAATTGTACCTGGAAGTACTGATATTCTGAATTGGTATAAACATTATACATAGGTTTCCTAGCATGGCAATGTCAGAACTCTTTTGCAACTTCCAAACTGGAAATGAAAAAAGCAAGGAAACAGGTTTCTTTAATCTTGACTACTTAGATTTATTAAAGAAAGGTCACGGATTTTTACCAATATTTTTCCTTTTAAATATAAATATACATGTACACTCAAATTTAATATCTAGCTTTTTTTCCGGACATTTTGATGGAGGGAGGATGTAGTTCGTCCATTCTGAAATGTAAGCAGGCTTGCACCTGGGTTATCTGGACCCAACAGCTACCATACTTCTTATCAGTTTTAGAAAGATAACAGCAAAGGGAAGAAGGCAAAATCTTCTAAGAGAGAATACTTCAAAGAAAACCAAAAGTGTGAAATCAAAGCACAGAGAAGGGAAGGCACTTGAAAGCAAGTACCTATATATGAAAGGAAACAGGGAGCTCATGTGATTTGGGTGGAAAAAGAAAAAGCAAAATTCATTTTTGAGCTCATTTTTGTAGAGATATGCAGGACAGAATATAAAGAACAACACTTCAGTTGTAGATTAGGAATGATGCTCCTCAGGCACCAAATAAACCATAGATTTCCCCAAAAGCCACTAGTAATTGTTGCCTGTTACTGAGAGGCAGTGCAGCTGGCAAGGTTGCTATTGAGCTTGCTGTGTCAAAAGCGATTGCCTTTTCATGCAGACACAAAGAAGCAAGGCAATCGGACAAGAGAAGGTCTCACGTGTCTTCTCTACCATCTTTTCAAAAGAGCATTTTACGGTAACCTTTTCATTCTGCACAACCTCTGGCAGTTCAGGCTACATTATCTTTAGGTAATGAGTTACACTAGGACAGCATAAAATCTCCTTTCTGAACCAGAAGCCCATTTACACTTCAGAACCAAAGATGCAGCATTTTGAATAACCAAGACCAAAAGAAAGTCACCTGGTGCAGTTTTCTTTTTTCCAAGTCTATCACAAATCCCAGAAGTAAAATTATCATTTTTTTAAAACCAGGATCTTTAACGTAAGCACGGCTTACCAATTGAGCAATACATGAAGGACATAGGGATGGCAATTACGTGACCGATGTCTATTAAATTTGAGAATCACTCTATTTTACCATTTTAGGTCAATGGTCAAAGTAGTCCACATTCTTTTTAATATCTAGAAGTAAGGTATTGAATAATGGATCACACATGCCAAGCATAGGATTGGATATAAATTCAATAAAGCACATATACATATTCAATAACATTCATCTTTTAACTTGTAATGAATGTATTTGAACATTCAGTTTAGTATTGATTCCAAAGGTGTGAACGTGGAGTAGTATACAACCTTTTTGATTTGTCTATCTACCTTCTGATAAAAAATACAGCACATCCATGTTAACATGGAAATAAATCTCATTATTTATGCAATTATCACACATATTCAGTCAGTCAGTCATTCAATTTGTATGACTGCCCTTCTCACCTAAGTGATTCTTGGCTGACAAAGTTTACAATGTATTAAAATTATCTCTTGCTTTTCCACTTCTCTTGCTTTTCTCCACTTCAAAATAGATAATAATTAAACAGAAAATAGAATAGACAGTTGTAATTAAAGCATAAAAGCAAATAAATAGTTAGGCAGTAAGCAACAACCTCAGAACCTCAATGGAAACAGAAAATGCCCCTCTGAGGAATAAAGAAGGCCACTGCTGAAAATCTTAAAACTCAAGCACGCTGTGAAAGAAAGAATATAATCTTTCAAATAAACTACTCACAAGTCATGTGAGTTTTATAAATTATAACCCACACTTTGAATTATGTCTGGAAACTGCTTTCATTCCTTACACTATAATTAAAGGTTTACGAGTTTGATCATTTTCTGCATTTGATCACCCAACAATGGAAATATTGTGCCTTTAAGACATTTTGTTTTTTGTTTAAGAATCTGGATTTACTTGCTAGTTAATTTTTATTATCTTGCCCCACTGGAATCCTGTCGTCTTTCTTCTGACTTGACTTTTTGACACTTACCCCTTATTTTTTGCTTATATTATTTCTAATTTTCAACCATTCAAAACAGAAGGAAGTTTATCTTACAGATACAATGTAAGAGTGTTGTGCAATTTTCAATATGTTGCTGTTCTGTTACTGAACTATAGCCCAACCATTTAATTTTAATTTAGCATTGGAACCGAATGTGATGTTTGCAGAAATTCTAATTAATTTTAGCTACATGTAGAACCATATGCCATCATGCCAAATTATAGAGAAATACAAAAAGTCATTGCACAAGTTTAAAACAACTCATTATTTTTAATCCAATAACCAAGTAAGAAATTGCAGGTAGATAATCATTCAATGTCTACTTAGAAAGATACCTTATATTAAGCCAGATTCTATCCTTGTACCCCATTTTCATTGACAATGGGGTAGATAACCAAGATGATCAGCTAGATGCTTTTGACCAGTGGTGGGATTCAAATTTTTTTACTACCGGTTCTGTAGGCGTGGTTTGGTGGGCTTGGCAGGGGAAGGATACTTTAAAACCTCCAGTCAGAGGTAGTATTTGCTGGTTCTCCGAACTACTCAGAATTTCTGCTACCGGTTCTCCAGAACTGGTCAGAACCTGCTGAATACTACCTCTGCTTTTGACGAAGCTTGGGCTAATGGGAGTTGAAATACAAAAAGTATTTCAGGTTTCACAAACAGGATTTTTGTTTGAATCATAAGTAGCGATGGTAAAGATTGAACATCGGACCTTATTCATTTAATTCATATCCATCTTTTCATGAATAAATTGTTCTCAAGGAGGTGAGGAATCAAGGAAAAGAAATTAAAAACAGAGTACAACATGGCTTAAAAGCTACCCTTTGGATTCTACTTGTTAAAACATTATTTAAATCCAATCAATAGATTACTGTTTCCCAATGTCTTGTGAAACTCGGAAACAAAACAAAATTAATTTTCGCTAGCATGAATTAAACTTCAGAATGGAAATGAAAAGACTGTGAACTTACCTGAAACAAAGGCCACCTTTTCCTTTAGTATGGGAAGGACATCAGCAGCTTTCAAGCCATCATTGCGGAAAGATCCTGCAAAAAATGAAGGAAAGGGGGGAGAAAAAGAAAAGAGCAAGATTCAGTTAAAAGATATTCCACCTTTTGAGCTTGTTTATTTCATCTACCAAATCAATAGAAAGTTAATTTCTAAACTTTGGGGTTGAAAAGATGTGATGACCTAAAAAGTTTGACCCACTGCAATTTTCTTCTAAAGAAAAATCTATCATTTTATCCATGAAGCATTCTGCATGATCAGACCACAGTATGAAATTAGGGGGGGGGGGGCTTTCTTTATTTTCCATCCTACTGTTATAGGATGAAATATAAACAGTAGAGAGTGAAAATGCCTCCGGTTGAAGACTGATTCCTGGTGATTGTATCCAGGAAGTGGCAGATCATTCTTCTCTAAGTGGTTTTAATTAAAAAAAATATCACATAACTCTGATGATATCCCATTCAAGCTAAATCTTGTTTAACTTCTAAAATCAGTAAAAGTCAGTTAAGGTGTTGTCCATCTGCTGAAGTAGCATGCTGGCAACATCATTAAAGAATTAAAACAATTTCAAAAATTATGTATTAAAGTTAACTGTGGTTCCTAGAACATTTCCAATCGTATGCTTTTATATCAACACATCTGAAATTCCAGATTTGAGAATCAGAGGGATAAACCTGGAACCTACGCATAGATCCCTCAATATCCTCCCTTTAATATCTATACTGTGCAGCAATTACATTGGGTGTACAAGGAAGCAGGCAATATACCTAGGCAAGCATCCTACACAGGAAGACTGGCCTGCCTGTCAAAAATACAGATGGGGGATCAACTCTCTTTCTTTCTGGTAGCCATCTAAACTTCATTCCCCAAAGAGCTTCTCTGGGCCCTATCACCTAGCTTCAAAGTGTTCTCACTGCAGTAGAGGTAGTCCTCAACTTACAACCACAATTGACCTCAAAATTTATGTGATTAAGTGAGACATTTGTTAAGTGAGTTTTGCCTCATTTTACGACCTTTTTTGCCTCAGTTGTTAAGCAAATCACCACAGTTAATAAGTTAGTAACCCAGTTGTTAAGTGAATCTGACTTCCCCATTGGCTTTGCTTGTCAGAAGGTCACAAAAGGTGATCACATGACCCCAGGACACAGCAACGGTCACAAATATGATCCGGTTGCCAAGAATCTGAATTTTGATCACAGGTGTCAGTTTCCAAGAGATGAAATCCATTAAAAAAAGAGCAAAGTCCATCTTCCAAAACAATTTCTTTTATTTAGGAAAGCATCAAATTGGCAAAGTCTGTTGTAATTCCGGATCTGACACAACCCAGAATTACACTACATAATACTGGAAGTTAGAAACAGCCCCCAAAAGTCACATTCCCCAATAGAAGTAAATCAACGTTCCCTGATGTCATCAAACTCCACCTCCAGGCCTCAGCATGGTCAGCTTTTGTTCCCACAGGAAGAAGAACCATCTAACCTAAACAACTCCATCTCCACTCCTCCCACCTTAAGGATGTGGCAAGCCCGAAACCCTTCCCCCTATGACCAGCAAAGAGAAAGAAAGGAAAGGAATATATAATAAGGCTAAATAAAATGGCTCTGCATATGTCAATTTCGGGCTTGACAACAGGATCGTGGGGATGCTGTAAAGGTTGTAACTGTGAAAAACAGTCACAAGTGACTTTTTTCAGTGCCGTTGTAATTTTGAACAGTCACTAAATGAACTGTTGTAAGTTGAAGGCTACCTGTACAAGTAGATCATTGCATAAATGCTACAAATAAGAATGATGGTTTATGATTTCCTACATTTCAAACATGATCATCAAAGGAAAGGAAAGTAGCATATGGTAGTTACTACTGTTTGGGCCTTGCCGGCTTCTTCTTCATTCACTCTTAAATAGACTAATAAATCATCACTTTATCCTCCCTAGAAGCCCCAGTGAAGTTCAGATTTCCTGTCAAGAAGCATGTCCGCTTTCTGCCAAGGGGCATGAGTCATTTCTAGGCTGACTTGAGGCAGCTCAGCTGTTGGTTTCGAGTTGAGGGAAGACTAAAATGTTGGTTGCCATGGTACAGTGAGGAGTGAATGCAATTCACATTCCCCTCACACAATAATAACTATTCCGTTGAAATTCCACCTACACCATCAGGACAACAACGGTTATGGCAGACAAAGGAACCTATAATTTCCTAGCTCCAAAGCCAAGCAATGCTGCTGGGCAGAAGATATGCCACTGGATTAGAAGCCATTTTGTGTTCACTAGCGTGTAATGAAGTCTTTCCCTCTTAAGAGTTACCCAACAGTAGCTATCCTCTGCTCATTTTCTGTTTCTAGAAAGAAGTGGTTAACACGATGATTTATTATTTGAAGGCCAGCAGAGAAGAAGAAAAAAAAACCCACATTCTCCTCAAGTATGCTTGTCCTGCGTTTCTACAATTCCTTTCAAAAAATAATACATTTCCCCACAATTTTTAAAGCTATGTACATGTACTTCTCGACTTACAACAGTTCATTTAGTGATTGTTAAGTTACATGAAAAAAGTGACTTATGACCATTATTCACACATATGACTGTTGCAGCATCCCTATGGCCAGATGCTTGGCAACTGATGGTGGTTGCGGTGTGATCACCTTTTGCGACCTTCTGACAAGCAAAGTCAATGAGGAAGCCAGATTCACTTAACAACTGTGTCAAAAAAAAGTTGTAAAATGGAGCAAAAGTCGCTTAATAAATGTCTCACTTAGCAACAGAAAATTTGGGCTGAGTTTTGGTCATAAGTCGAGGATTACTTGTAAAAGCAGATACAAAGCTACAAACTAGATGCAACCGCTAGCTCTGCAGTGGCAAATTGCATCCCATTTCATACTGAATTTGTCAAATTGCCTTGAGTATCTGAAACATTCATAATTGTGGTTTTCATGTCAAATCCCTGCATTTTCCCCTGTTCCTTAATTATTACGCAGTATTACTTAGAGCTCTAAAAGATGGGCTCTTAAAACCAATTCTTTGAGATTTTCTTTCTTTTTTTAAGCCAATTCCTAGGAATTAAATGCACCCATTCAAAGTGACTAATGTGATCCATTTACAGAATTCACTGAGTAAATGGAGAAATATTATAAATAATAACTTCATAAAACTACCACCTCACCCCCAATTTTTCTCTTTGTGGCCCCCTGTTGTTACAATGTTATGGGACTCAATTCAAAATAATGACCATTGCAATGGATAAAAATGAAGAATACATGAGTCCAGGGTACCTGAGGAGATGTTTCTCCCCAATGGGACAACCCCATCCCACTCATGCCAGCAGAAGAAGCCCGCAACAAATCCCATCCACTAGGGAATTGAAGCAGGAAAGCCTTTTCAAGGAGGAAAGCCTTTTCTGCTGTGGCTCCATCCCTGTGGAACACTCTGCCACTGGAGATGAGAACTGCCCTCTGCCCTTTGGCCTTCTGGAAGCTTATCAAAACTTGGCTTTGCTGGCTGGCCTGGGACCCCAAGCTGTTGCTCACTGCTGGAGGTGGCTGATGGGGTAAGAAGACCTCATCCTCATCCAGTCCCTCTCTTAGTTCGCTTAGTTTCTTTTTTAGTACAATTTTTTAAAAAAAACAATATCCCAATCTGTGTAGTTTTTAATGTTTTAATATTTTGATCAGTTTTTTTTACTTGTTTTATAACTTGTAACTGCCCAGAGTTCCCTTGTGGAGGAGAGATGAATGGCATGAAATTTTAAATTATCTTTAGTTTAAATAATTTATCAATCATCTTTTGGCACATGCATGAATCAGGTTGCTCTCTTATCTTTTAATAGAGCTGCTCTCATGTCTTGAGCAGCAACTCAGTTCAAGATTAGCCTGACAGATAAGAGAAGTGTTGGAAAAAGACCAATCGGCTTCAACTCTAGATCAGGGGTGTCAAACTTGATTTCATTGAAGGCCACACATCAGGGTTATGTTTGACCTTGGAGGGGCCGGATGGGTGTAGCCAGCTTGACATCACTCGTATTGGGGGTGCCTGTGGTGGCCCAAGCACTCTGCCAGCGAAAACAGAGCTCGGGAGGGCCACGCGCGGCCCTCCCGAGCTCCGTTTTCACTGGCAGACAGTTGCAGGAGGCTGTGGCACATGGTCCTGCTGAGCTCCATCTTCACTGGCAGAGGCACCATGGGCCAGTCCTTCGCGGTTTCCAGGGCAGCCCCATGGGCCAGATCTAAGCACTCCATGAGCTGGATCCGACCCCCGGGCCTTGAGTTTGACATTGTGTTTTGAGGTGGGCTGCACATACCGTAACAACCAGTTCACTACAAATGGGAGCGCATGCACACATGCCCCCTTTAGTGCACGGCTGCAAAAACATGGGGATTTCCTGCACACGGCAGGTGCAGTGAGTAGAGTGGGAGAAGCGCGGAAAGCAGCTGGGCTGCGTGGGCAAGGCGAGTGAGCCACATATATAGGATTGGGATAGCACCGGGGAAGGTGGGCAAGCCCAACCAGTGATTGTAACTATCAGTACGGGAGACTCGGTCTGAACCGGCAGCAGCCCACCACTGATTGTGTTGTTTTCAAAGACATAAAGATGGAAATAGAAATCCACTTAAACAGTGATGGCTAACCTGTTTCTCATCGCGTGCCGAAAGTATGCACATACGCGCACATGCATGCCTGCACCCATAATGCAATGCACGCGCAACACCCCCGCGCTACCCACACACCTCACGCATGCGCACATGTCTCCTGCATGCGCACCCCCCCCACATTCATGGCAGATACTCAAAAATCAGCTGGCTGGCGGCAGGCACATATGCATGTGCAGTGGAACTGAGCTGGGGCGACAGCTCGCTTGCCGGCAGAGATGACTCTGCGTGCCACTTCCGGCATGTGTGCCATAGGTTCGCCATCACGGCACTAAAGCATAATACATAATATATACACATACCAAAAGTCATGCCCCTAAAGACAAAGTCGGACTCGGTAGACAATGTATTATATAAATTATTTTAAATGTTCAAATTGGTTGCCATTTTTGCTAAACACCTC